GTACCCAACAATGACAAGTCTGTGTGCAAGGGTTACCCTTTATTTTCCACAATCCAAGTCAGGCCTGGCCAGCTCAACAGGTATCAATTAAAGAGCTGCGACTGTGCTAAGTGACAAAGGAAAGGGGGCCTCACCTAGCCCTTGGGATCAGAAAGGCCTGTCTGAGGATTTGGCATTTAGTTGGAGTTTGAAGATAGAGTAGGAGCTAGACAAGCAAAGACTTGTAGGATGTGTGTTCGCCTGGAGGGAACACGTGTGAAAGCTTTGGGCCTCTCGTCTATTCAACAGCAATACCAGGCTTTTGGAGAAGCGCTGGAAAATGGGGGTAAACAAAAAGACAATACCCATCACCCATAATCCCACCACCCAGGTACAACCGTCTAACGTGTGCGTATGTGCATCCACGTAACTATGAATTGGAATGTACGCATTATTTTTAAAGCTTTAAAAAAACCTCTTCAATCTCCCCTCCTGTGGCTTTACCTGCACTCAGCTTTGCTCTTTTATTCACTGAAGACTTCGGCACCCCGCTCTCCATTTTCTTTGTACCCCAATCTCAGTCATCATTCTGGGTGACATTGGCATCCACATGGAAACCAATTTAATACAGACCCTTACCGTGCCATAGAGTGTTTGCAAAGCCACCAGACAAGACTAAGAGGCGCTACTTGGGCATTAGAAAACGGGTACCTCTGCCAGACCCACTTGCCCCTCTCCAGGCCACCTCCCCAAGCTGTTCTCCCGGTTATTTTCATCACAATTTTGGCAGCTTCTTTCCACGTCTTATTAGAAATTTAAGAGCAGAGAATTAGATTCAAGTCCCATATTACAAGCCTTGTTGTTTTTGTAAAGTACACATTGTACGTTCAGTAGCACACTGCAAAGTATCATCATGAATTATTTAAAAGAAGCTATCCTTGTCACAATAAAGGAGCAAAGCACATTGTGTTCATTGTCTCCTTGCATGTTGTTATTTCTCCTCACAGATTTATCGCTTTGCAACATTAACTAAAATGCAATGAGCCACGGTGTCATTACTGCAAACTAGCCCAGCGCTGCGGCTCACGTGCTGATTTTTTTAAAATGTGACTGAAGCATTTTCTTTCCTTCTTGCTTAAGATTCATTCATTATACTTGAACATGTCCTTGTAGGAGCAGCACAGACTAGGAACATCTACGAAACATGTTTAATTGGGCTTTTCTTTAAAAAGTAACTCAGACTGAATTCCTCTCTTTTGCTCTCCTGGCACGAGACAGAAGGTGGGGAGGGAGATGAGATGAACACACTGAAGGTGCCGAGACCCCTCTTTGAAAAGGAGGCTGCGAACACTCCTGTTTTGCGCCTTATTTTATTGAGCTGTTCATTCCAAACGAAAGCAAACTGTCTGTCAAGGGCCAGTGGAAGGACCGTGAAGCCAGCCTCAGGCAGCGACGAGTGAGGTCAGCGAGCCTCCGGGATTAACTGTGCTCGGTTGGCACCGTCTCGTTCAGCCTGAGCGCTAATCTCCATGAATACTGAGGCGGATCCCCAAGTGGCATTTCCTGTGGACGCTACATGCTGCCAGGACACGCACAACTCCATTCTTTGCCCTCCTGCTTACCTCACACACACGCATCCCCCAGACTGACATGCCAACAGGTTCATTTTAAAACCACTCTGTTTTGCCCAGAGAGAGTGGCTCGGCTGCTGAGCATCGACCTATGATCCGGGAAATCGGGGTTCAATTCCCGGTCAGGGCACACGCCCGGGTTTCGGGTTCGATCCCCAGCAGGAGGCAGCCGATGGGTGATTCTCTCTCATCATTGATGTTTCTTTCTCTCCCTCTCCCTTCCTCTCTCCGAAATCAATAAAAATATGTATATATATATTTAAAAAAAAACAGTTTTGTCTCAGGCTGTGACAAGGCCTCATGGATTAAGAGGGAGCAGGGACTTAAAACCAGGAGAGTAGAAACACGCACAATAATAGGCAGTCAATTAAACCTTAGAACTAAAGCAGGTAGCCTCTTCTTTAAAAATACCTTTTTGCTTTGCAATAATTTTTAACTTATAGAAAAGTTGCAAATATAGTATAATTTCTTGATACTGTTCACCTGGATTCCTCAATTGTTACCATTTTTTTGCCATAGAATTCTGATCATTCGAGGGTAGGTTGTCAACGCGATGCCCCACTAACCCTAAGCCTTTCAGCGTGTCCTAGAAAACAAGGACAGTCTGCTGAAAACTCAAGTACTGCCCATTCTCCAGCATCAGGAAATCAGCAGCAACGGAGCACCACCGTCCAACCCACAGGCTCCATTCAATATTCCCCATTTTCCCAGCACTATCCCCTGTCGCCATCCTTTCCTCTTCAATCCAGAATCCAATCCCTGGTTTCCTACTGTATCTAATCTTCGTGTCTCTATAGCCACCTGAACAATTGCTCAGTGTTTCCTTGTCTTTTCTTGCTTGACATTTGAAGAGCACAGATGTGTTATGTTGTTGAATGACCTCCAATTTGTGGTTGGCTGACATTTCTGCGAGATTTCAGGTTATTACCTTCTTGGCAGGAGTAACACAGAAGCGATGATGTGTGTTCTTCTCAGTGGATCACACGGGGCACCAACCGTGTCAATTTGTCCCATTACTTGTGATGCTGACTTTATGACTTGCTTAAGATGACTAATTATGAAGTATTTTGTATTTATTAATTAATAAGTAACTAATAAGTNTGTGTTCTTCTCAGTGGATCACACGGGGCACCAACCGTGTCAATTTGTCCCATTACTTGTGATGCTGACTTTATGACTTGCTTAAGATGACTAATTATGAAGTATTTTGTATTTATTAATTAATAAGTAACTTAAAAGTATTTGAATGATTACTTTTTACTTAGTTTAAAATATCTGAGTCTATGCAAATATCCTGTTTCTCATCAAACTTGTTTGATGTGTCCATTGATGATTCTTCTCTGAAGCAGTTACTCCTATGATAGGTACCAAGTGCGGATTTTCTAATTCAGTTCCCTCTCCGTGTATCAGTCGGTATTCTGTTTCCCTTCTCCCAAGACTTGTGGATGAGGCTCTGGTTAAGCCAAGAGCTGGGGTGCGTTCATGATCAAGACTCTCTCTGGGTCTAATGGGTGTTTGGCAACCTGCTCATGAATGTACCTAAGGTCCTTTTTGTCCCTAAATGGAGATGCCATTTTCATTTCACATTGAAACTCTCTGAAGCTTGACCCACTCTATGGGAATTTAGGTCAGAGAAGACCCATTGCAGAATCAGATCTGTTCAGAGTCATGACTTTTCTTTCAGTGAGTTCATCTGTGTCCATTAGGACCTAGTAACAGGGCAGCAGGAGCCACTTAGCAGAGAGAAAAAGTTCTGTGGTCTCAGTGGCCTGAGGTAAGTGAGCTCTGGTAGGTGCTTATTGCCAAAGTTTCCAATCAGCTGTGAGGTTGGTCATAAATATCTGTAATTCCATGACGTTTGGAGATTAGGAGTCCCAGTGAAGCGTTTGATTCACTGACATCTGGATTGCTTCCAAACTTCCTTGTTCTAGCGATTCTTATGCAACGATGACCACCTATCTGGTGGCTTGGGACTGTCGCAGATGTTTATTGCTAATACCTAAAGGGGACAATCATTTTTGTTGTCATTTGCTTGATTTTGTAGTTGGTGGTTGCAGGGCCGACAATGCATCTTTCATGGGCTGTCAAGTGTCTCTTTGGCCTCTATCGCCCCAAGACGATCGCTTTGACAGGGCTTAGATTTTGTCTTCATTCAAGATCCATCTGCGCTTAGGCAGCTTGAAGTGCAGTGCGAGAAGCTTCCTTGACGGATGTCATGTAAAAGAGCTTTCTTTACAGGTGTCACATTAAGAAATTACTGTTGAATTTATTTAGGTATGAAGATCATATTAGAGTATATGTTTTTTTTAATGTTCCCATCCTTTAGTTTACACACTGAAATGTTTATAGACAAAATGATCTGATGTCTTGGACTTAGTTTAAAATAATATGGAAGTGGGGAAAGAATGCAGAGGAGAAGGAATGGCAGAAACAGACACTTAATTAGTGGAGTCATAATATTACCACAACTGTTAAGGGGAAATAAAAAAACTTTTGATAAAGGGAAACTGACAAAATTTGTTATTAGAAGACCTGCAGTAAAGAAATGCCAAAGGGAGCCCTTCAGGGTAAGGAAACAGACACCCGATGGAAACTGAGGTTGACATGGTGACACCTCATCCTGCCACTCTCAGCTGTGGAAAAGGGGATCCGCTGGCCCGGGAAGGGTTTGGATCTTTGTTTAGTTAAGTGCGGTAGGTAGTTTTAAACTGTTTGGTTTTAAACAAACTGTACAGCTCTTCATTGTCATCAGTGAAAGTTCAAGAACCTTCTGTACTAAACACAATTTGGAACATTTTGTTATTTTTATATGTTTAGAATGCTGAAATGTTTTTGAAATTAAATAAACAGTATTACATAAAAAAAAAAAAATTGGAAAAATAGCAAATTATACCCAAAGTAAGTAGAAGGAAATAATGAATAGTAAAAATCCATAAAATAGAAAATGGACAAACAACTTAAAAAAAAAATCTACGAAAGCAAAAGCTANGTATTACATAAAAAAAAAAAAATTGGAAAAATAGCAAATTATACCCAAAGTAAGTAGAAGGAAATAATGAATAGTAAAAATCCATAAAATAGAAAATGGACAAACAACTTAAAAAAGAAATCTACGAAAGCAAAAGCTATTTGTTTGTTTTTTTTAAAAAATAGTAATAAAATCGACAAACTCCTAGGAAGAGTAACCAAGGAAAAAAGAGAGAAAACACAAATTATCCAATATCAGGAATGAAAAAGGGGCTATTACTATAAATCCTACAAACATTAAAAAGGTAATGAAAGACAGTTATCAATAATTTTATACTCATTAGTTCAACAATTTAAGTCATTGTTTTGTAGATTCCATAGATATCAGTGTTCTGAACTAAATTTCTGTATCTTTCTTCTTAGGTTTGTCCATGACCAGTTTTCAGAAAGGATGCAACTGGCCAAAGTGGATTTCTCCACCGTGTTACCACGCTTCATTTCTCTCTACATCTTTTCCTTTCTCAGTCCAAAAGATCTGTGTGCGGCTGCACAAGTCAGCTGGCCCTGGAAGTTTTTAACTGAACAGGTTTACTACTTGTCAATTCCTAGTAATAGGGCCCAAATGCAACAGTAATCTGTAATGAGGCCATTGGGGTAACTTTCTTCCCTAAAGATAACTGGGGGAATCTGAACCATAATTAGCTTATTCTTAAAACAAAAAAATGAGGATAAGTTAAATACAGTAATTTATTTTATAAGTAAAGAAATGTGTGCTATTCTAATTCATAGAATTTTAATAATTTTAAAATATTCAATGATTTAGAAAATATTTTATCTTGGCTAAAAAAGTCCATTCATCCATAAAAAGATCATTTAAGCTTTGGTTTCTATATAATATTATTTTATCCATGATAATTCACCTTGAAAATTGCTGTACAACCACAATTTCAGCTAATACCTGTAGAAGGAAAATCTACCTCGGGCCTATTTGTCTCTTTGTTTCCTTTTAAAAGACTTAACAAAATGTAATGATAGACATACTTTAAAAACAAGTCAAAAACTCACTTCTTTAACATGTACACACTTCCTAGGATGGCTTGCGCTGAGATTCTGATCTCAGAGAACACCTCACTCTGTGATGGAGCCACAGGCAAAAGCCAACTGCGAGCCCTGAATTTATTGATGTAAAAAATCCAGGCTTAGTGTTTGCATGCTACACTGTTCTCTGTCTTTCTACTTTCAACCTTTCTATGTTCTTATATTTTAAAAAAAAAAAAAAAAAAAAAAAAA